GTGGCCTGGAACACCACAGGCCATTTAAGGGAGCAGAACATATATTGGTACAATGTTCTTTCCATTTCCTTTCATTACTGTCATTTAATGTCAAGGTCAACGTGATCTGAGGGCAACCTTAGACTCTTGGGGAAATCTAGATGAAATCACATGTGAAAAAAAAAAGTAATTATCTTGGAGGGAAACTTTTCTATGACAATTTAAATTAAGCCAATTATTTTCTAGAAATGTAGATGCCCTAATAATGGTGGTTCGGATTGTCATTCCATCATGTTCACTTATGTTTTGTGTCCTTGAACATCTGTGCCTTTTTAGACTTTAAATCGTGAGAAAAAAATATGACTCCCCCTTTCTGTGTCGTTCTTACCTTTGCAAAGTTAAAAACCTCTATAACTCATCACTTCATTGATGACCACCAGGAGCAGCAGTCATGCCATTTTAATGGGGGATAAGAAGTCATCCTTTTCTATTTTTTAAGGCTTCAACCAAGAGCATTTTTTTCCTTCAATTTTTCTTTTCATTTTCCTGAAATTGTAAGATGTGTCTCCATGACCAGAACTAAATTTTGGTGATATCTAGCAGACAGGATATATAGGTCTTAATATAATCCAGCCAACCAGTTATTTATATTTAAATAACACTAAATAAATTATTTAGATATATTCCTGGGATAAAATAGCCCACTGTAGGGTAACGATAGTTGTATGATTATTTCAGGGGTAAATCATTGAAAAGGAGGTGATTTTTAAAATGAGATCCTTATGCATATTTAAATTGTTTTAAAAGTAAGTAATTTCTCATCTGCACTAAAATGATTTGTATAATATTGGGGAATTTTAATTTGCATAATATTGGGACATTTACTTAGCCTCTGTAAATCCGTTTGAAAACTTTTATTTGAAAGGGAGAGATGTTCAAACATATTTCATCCCACTAGATAATTTTAATTGCCAAGTTTAATATGGTACATAAAGGTTCTAGTAGAGTACTTAAGCATACAACAGGCACTGGATAATTGTTTGTTTGCTCTTTTTTTCCTGACAGTTCACAGCAACATATACTAAAGAAGCAAGTTCCTTAGGCATCAGATGTTCAAAAGTGGGGGCAACAGACACAAGAGATGCTGTGTGTGTTGTGGTCATTCAATAACTAAACCTTTTCAAAGCTCAGCTTTCCTGTGATCCTAACTCTTTGTTTGGAGTTGGTGGCAATAATTGTTTTACCAGGCAAAAAGTAACAGCGGCCATATACACTCACATGCTTGCTGTGTGTGAGAGACATCAACAGGCACTTAACATATATTTTTTACATTCAGTTCTCATTGTGATACTGCAATACTTAATTTAGAAATCTCTCAGTGGGGAGGGGTTTTATTTTTAAGTGTGAGTTTTTAGGCTATTATAGGAAGATTCAAGAATTGTTTCTGTTTGAAAAGAATTGATGACACTTGATTATGTCAAATCCCAATGCCGAGGCCAAGGCAGGAGGGAAAGGAGGATGGAATCGGGAAAGGAGGGCTGCGATGTGGGGAAGGAAATGAATAGAGGGGCAAGACCCCTAGTGCGGTTTGTGGAATAATGTCCATCACCATAGACAAAGATGGTCTTTGGTCTCGCAGGTATTGGTCAGCTGTGATGTTGAATATATTGGCATATTAAAAGCATAATTAAGGATGAATAATTCTGGACCAGCTGAAAGGCTTGGTTGACAGACAAGATAAAGAATGCTTTATTTTATTTTATAGTAAATCAGAGTTTATAGTTTGTTGGAGTTAGCCTCATCTTCACCATTAAAAATGTAACTGTGACAGGTGGTTTGGCGGTGGCCATGCAGCTGATGTAGTCTTGGCTACAGTCGCATTTTTGTGTCATGTCACTGTCGTCTCTACCTGTCATCATAGGCTGGCACTACCAAATGTGCCAGGTTCTATGTGTGGATCTCTTTATATTTGCATTCCCATATTATTATTCGATGTTTGTTTTAATGAGAATAGCACACCATCACTCACGTACACCATGTGTGTCTACAGAGCTGTACAGCTTAAAACCAAGTAGAGATTTCGGAATTCCCTGTGGCCAACTTATCCTGCCGCAGTCCCTTGGTAAAGCCCGGGAGCATCCGAATTTCCATGACTTTATTAGTATACTTCTTTAATTATAGAGTGCAATTTGCATATCAGTGGTACCTTGCACCACAGGTGAGAAATTGAAATGTTCAAGGTCAATTAATTGTGACTGTTTCAAGTTGGTTAGTGCAGCTGTAACAGGGAGTGATGCTGGGAGAGGATGCGGTCAGTGAGAGGTTCCTCCTTCTCCTGATGAGAATTGATGATCCAATTTTAACTCAATAGAATCACCCTGATCCTGTTTTCCTCACGGTGCGTCTCTCGTGGGTTCACTTTTTAAATACTGGTCTGTAAAGGAGGGTCCAAATGGCAGAGAAATATTATGAAATTCTGTATTTAAAAATGTATCCTCCTTATTATTAACTTCAGACCATTAAAGTTATTAAGTAGAAAGAGTAAGAAGCAACGTAATCAGCGTTTTCTCAGAGGTATAAGCTGATACAGATTAAAATGCCAAATGTAGGAATGTCAGATGATGGCTGGCGAAGGGCATCATCTTCATTCTTTTCCAGATTTTCTGTGTAAAAACGTGATAAAAATACAGAGAGAGGTGCAGTTGCAGCAGTAAGAGGGCCAAGGTTGCTTGGTTGACATCAGGCTCCCAAAGACTTCCAACTTCCAAACTTTTGATTAGCTGGGACAGTGGAGAGAAATGTTTATCCATTCAGCACCCCTGTCAGGCACCCATCAATCCTAATCTCCCTGGAGCCAGGTACCAGACACCTAGGACAACCCTATGCCCCAGGACCCTTTCAAATTAGCCACTGCACAGGAGCCCACAAAACCCACCTAGCCCTGCCCCACTTGCCATATGTTAGCTGTCCCCAACAGCTCCAACTCGTCACCCTTTCTGTGGGTGCACGTCCCTGTATGGCCTTCTCCTCTTTGGAGCTATCAGTGACAAAAAGTTCTGCCTTTCATCTATCAGAGTGTCATTGTCTTGTGCCTGCCCACAAAAGAATTTTTAAACCTTATAAAACAGTTGTTAACACAGCTGTTTCCCTTTAGATCTCACAATGCTTTGCTCCACCAAAATAACAAACATGTATTGGGCCCTTTTTGTACTAGAGCCTGTACTCGAGGTTTTATGAAACAGGGCACAGATGTCAAGAATAAGGCTTGAATAGAAGCTATATACAAATTAGTGGTAATCTCGATCTAAAATGTCAGATCTTACCAGAGCCTCAAGGCGGATGGCAAAAGAATGAGGGAAAGAAAACATGTATTGGGGTGTTATATAATAGATGGTGCAGTTTAGTAGTCTTGAATATTAAATAATTATGGATTCAAAAATGTGTCAAACCCTATTTCATGATGTTCACAATGATTGTATATTATTGGGTCGTCGGAAAAGTCATGATGCATTTTTGCAACTAAAAATATAGAAAAATATGTCATGACTTTTCTGACAACCCAATACTTACACAATCATCCGTGTCAGTATTACTTAAATAAATTCCCCAAATAAAGTATTGTATTAAACTGGATGGACAAAACATCTTAACAAGACATACAGTAGTCACATCTATAATTTTCTGGTGTACATTGGATGAAACAAAACATAGGAAATTTTGTTTTACTCATGCTTTTTTGAATATACAAAAACTCCTATTTTTCACTTCTGAGTGGTTCAACACAACTTATTCTGTCATCTTTTTCATGATTCTCCCCTCCCCCACCCCTCCCCCACCATCATCCTCTCTCTTCCCAGTTAGGATAGGACCAGTGGTTCGTTGGTAAACTGGCTGGGGTTGGGGCAGGTGCTGACTTGTAGAGATTGCCAGTTTCTGTGGTTTAAATACTCCCACCATGGCCAATTGCAAAGATGGATATGCTTAACAATCGGCTTGCAAAATTCCTGAAAATTTGATCATCTCTCACACTGTGGCAAGCCCGTTTCCGCTGGATAGAACCCTCTATCATTTATTGTGTTACTGTTCCCTGCACATGCCCCACTGTTAACATTTTTCATGTTGTGTTTCAAACACGCTTTTCAATGTGTGCTCCTCCTATGAGACTAAACACAGTGAGGGTAGGGACTATTCCTGGACCATCTTTGTATTCTCAGGCTTAAGGGTGTACTTACTCTAACGTGTCTACATGATCAGACACCAAAGGTAGTTTTCTAGTTCTGCCATAGTGTGAAGGTATTCCCCTAAACCCAGGCCTGAGCAAAGAGATTGGAGGCCAGATAATTACTGTATTTCCCCATGTATAACATGCTCCCATGTATAAGACATACCTTCATTTGGGGGCCCGCAATTGGAAAAAAAATGTATTACATAAAGTTATTGAACTCAAGTTTTATTCATCATAAAATTCATACAACTCCTCATCATTGTCAAAACTCCCAACCATTAGTTTGTCCTCATCTGTGTCTGATGACGAATCACTGTCTTCATATATTGCCTCACCCTCAGTTCCATCTATGGCATTTGAATTCTACAACCACTGTATAAGACACACCCAGTTTTTAGACCCCAAATTGTTTGAAAAAGGGGAAATACAGTACCCAGTTGTGTGTGCAGGCAATAAACACGCTATTTCCAAGTGCTGACATAAATGTCCACCTGTTGAATTAAGCACTTTAAGCATTCAGTGAGACCTTAGTTCTTCCCAGTGTCAGGGGGTTCCAATACTTAGCAATGAACATAATTAACATAGTCTCCGTCCAGTTATACTAAACTCTTGGGTTTTTAAAATTACAATTATGAATTTATGTTTACAAATATTACAATTACGCTTTATATTTTGGAACTTTGACTTCCTAAGTTCTGTAGAGGAATACAGCCTTACTGGCGTTTCTATTCCACTAACACAGATTTGTGACTAATTCTTTTTTGCCAATTTTGTCCTGTTTCTATTTTCACAAAAGGCGCTGGTGGCTGGTCTCCACTTGTGTCAAACAAATACCAGTGGCTGCAGGTTGACCTTGGAGAGAGAATGGAGATCACTGCTGTGGCCACCCAAGGCGGGTATGGGAGCTCCAACTGGGTGACCAGCTACCTCCTGATGTTCAGCGATAGTGGCAGGAACTGGAAACAGTATCGACAGGAGGACAGCATCTGGGTAAGTTTCTTTAACAGAATACCCAGTCTGTAGGGAAGGCAGTGTAGTTACCACTGCATGTAGTTTACGAAGCTCTTAACCTAAGACGAGAAACAGAATCTTCAGACTGACTTAGAAAACATATGTTAAGAGAACATATGTTAATATTCATTTTCTAATACATTTCATGGTATAATTTCTGAAATGACTAAAGGTAAATTTATGTCATTGAGTCCTTAGAAATTGAAAAAGAAATCTTATCAGTCCATTAAATAGTGTGGAAGTCTAAGAAATAAACAAAGCATGCATAGAAAATGTTAAGTTTAATTCCGTTACACAGTAGTTTTACATTCTTTATTTACGGCTGGTCAAGAGAGTTTATTCTTTTTATTTCCTCTGATGACCCTGAGATTTCTGAATTAATCCACCCCTGTTCCATTCTCCTTCTTTCTCTAGTATATGGAGCTTTTTATATATAATATTTGGAATACACACACACACACACACACACACTCACACACATATATACACATGCACATACACACATATATGATTTATATATAAACTACTTTCTAGTCCAGTCTTTTAAAAGTGTGTAAGTGTGTAAAATGCTGTGTTTTGTTTTGTGGATAGGGGCACAGATCCTGTAAGATAGAGACTGACAAGGAGGCAGTTAGTAATACACTGGATGGTATTGGTAGTTGACTGTATATAAACACCTGATGGAAGAAAGAAGCTAAAGGAAGTTTGCTTGGTAGTGAAGAAAGTACTTCTTTGTTAGTGTAGAAAGTATTGCTTTGGATCTTAGATGGGCCACGGACAACATACTATAATCAAAGAACTATTCCCCCACCCCACTCTGGCTGAGCCGCCAGAACCAGAGAAAATGAGTAACTTAATGAAGCATCATTCTTAGCACACAGATAATTTGGAAACCTATTTGGGCACATAATGATAATTTTCTTTGATCAGTCAACTGCCTCTCTTTTGAAACTTCCTAGAACTCCTTTTTACATTATAAACTCATCGAAGAAATGGCCTGTGATTTACTCATACCTTTGCATCTCTGAAGCTCTTGGTGGCCACTCATTGCATGTTATTGATGTAAATTGAATCCAGAAGTAGCTTTCTTCTTTCTCTAGAGAGAACAACAGTTGGGCTGGAGGAAGTTGCCTACTAGCATTTTTAAGAAAAGCTGCCTTATAGCCCAAAGCAGGTTGAAGTTGTCAATAAGAGCGAGAAAAACTGGATATTATGCTTGAATTAATTCTGTGAAAACCATTCAAACTAGGGATAAAATAAACAGTAATTATGAACCAATAACAGTAAAAGCTTAACGAGGTATTTATTCTAACTAGGTGGTTGGATTCTCTTTTACTCTTTTTCTAAATTAAACATTGGATTTTAAACTAGATAAGGATTGGCTAATCCATGCTAATATTTAGCTGTGTTAAGTAAAATATATGTTTTTGACATTTTAAAAAATGATAGATCAACCACGAAAATTGTTTTTCCATTCATCAAGCTCAGGGAAAGCCAAACCTAGACAGCACCACTTGCCTTTTTTCTTACTCCTGTTGATGGTGAGGTGCTCAGGGTGAAATAGTGTCATGAATGATAATACCCTTAACTAATCTAAACCAATCAATATAAAGACAAACGGCATGTATCACAATGACCTGTCAAAGCAGTATTATTTTTTAGACTATGCTATAATTTATTGGTGCACTCACTGTCTTCCCCTCTTGAGTGTGAGCACCCTGAAAATAGAGGCTGTACCTTCCAACCTTTCATCTAAGCATCCCCAAATCTTCCCAGTACCTGGCATGTTGCAGGTGTGGGGGAGGAACAAACTCTTCTGTACCCTCAAGGTTCTGACTGATCTAATCATCAAATAAATTGAGACGTTAGCAAGAGAAAATAACCAACTCTAATACATACATATGTACAGGAACCCCTCATGTGTGAACGAGTCAGAGACCCCCACATACAGGAGAGGTCAGAGACAGAAAGGGAACATGGATCTATAAGACATTCTGAGCTAGGAATGAGGTAACATACCTTGGGGGCTTCAAGCAGTCATTGCAAGGAAGATAAGAAGATCAGATGTTTAGTAATATAGAAGTTTGCCCTGCCACATAGGTGGGTCTAAAAAAGGTTATTGCTGATAATCTCTTATGGGCAAGGCCCCTAATTGAAGCTCTTCTAGGTAGGTAAAGGGAGGGGCAGAAGTTTTTCTTGAGCTTGAAGCTAAAATTGTCCTTAGCTCAAAACAATCCACATACTACAGAAGCACATCTTGGGGTGACTAGCTCTGAACCCCCACCCAGGTAAATACTAAATGTTTGTTGAGTGCATGCATAATGCAGTGAATGAGTGAATGAACAAATAAATGAAATGCACTTTCTTGTAGGTTACTTTTATGATCACAGTAACCAAAAGTGACTCCTTCCTCCTTCTATCTCCTCCTTTTAGCACGTTTATGTTGTACCAGTTGAATATCCTTAGACTTAGGAGGGTACATTTCTCTCTCCCCTATAAATTATGAACTTTTTTAATGGGAAAGGATTTATATGTCTCATCTTTGCATTTCAGCGTTCAACACCCAGTGAGGCACATGAATTTTTTAAGTGAATTAGTGAAAAATTATCAATGAATGAATGAATGAATAGATTTGAATACATTAATCTCATAATGTGCTTAACTTTGCACAAAATTCTGGGAGATATTAAAAGAGCTCATGTTAACATCAGAAGAAATAAAGCACAACAGAATAAATCAAAGAATGATTCTGGGTGGGGGGCGTCATGCAAATATAAGGTACAGACTCCTAGAGATTTAGAAATTGACAAGGTATGGAGATCACTGATGACTGAATTTGTCAAGAAGGCAGGAGTTAAAATACATATTGAAAAGAGCATTATAAGTTAGATTATGGAAGGATTGAGAAAGCTATTTATGAAGATAGAAAAGTGTGAACAAAGCATGGACATTGGAGATAATCCAGAGATACAGTTTCCTGTGAAATAACTATTGGTGAGATTGTTGGTCAGAATGGACTGTCAAGGGTAGGAAGGCCTGGAATACTTTTGGATGTGGTAAAGAAAGTTGATGGATAACTTTGAATGCCAAGGTCAAAATTAAGACTTGGTGCCATGAGCACACATAAAATAGGCAAGGTTATGTTGTAGGTAAAACAACCTCAAATCCTGACCTTGATGATTGATATGTTCACACATACTTATAGTCATGCTACCTGTTCATTCCAGGTAGGCTGCAGAGTTCTATTCTACTAAACAGTCAGGTCCCACTCTGAGGAACCTCCGTCTTTGTGTGAATCCACAGTTTGACAAAGCAGGAAAAAAACCCGAAACTTGGTGACATTTTCACCTGGAATAACACAGGTCAATTTAATTTGGATTTTTTTCTTCAGACAAAGAAAACTTTTAATTGATGTACATAGTAAAGAAGTTAGCCCTTGGTCACAGTTTCACAAATATGTATTTCCTAGCTTCTTTTTCTTTATTTTTGGTATTTTTTGCCCAGTTTTTCTAGATAATATGGGATATATACAAATTGAACAAAACATGCCAATTTTTTTAAGAGCTTTGCAGTCTGCTCCAGACGATACAAATAAATCTATGAAAGAGAGTTAGGAAACATATAAAGCATTATGCAAGTATGTGATAGAAAAAGGAAAAAAAGACAATTGTTATAAATTTAGAAACAAATAAAATAAAACCCATCAACATGGATTGAAATGCTTCAGTGAGGATGCCTCATTCTCCCCTCATTTGATCTCATTTCAAGCACGAGAGAGAACAAAGACTTCAATATACCTGAAAGAATTAATAAAATGCTCCGTTGCCTCTTACAAATAATCTTTAAAAAGAAAGACAAAATATTTTATTTATTATACAGGTCATACAAATATTTAATAGAACTATAAACTTGACGGATACATGATATTTAAAAAATTTACACATTAAAGCATTTCTTTAGAATAAAATTTATAGTCCAATGCCTGTAAATGTAATTTATACCAAGTACTCTGTTAGATGGCATACAAATATTTTACAAAAAAATTACAAAATGCAAGCCACTAAAATCGTTGTTCTCCAATTGAAGACAAAATGAAATCCCTCAACATCTATGATCAAGAGACTTTTTAAAGTCAATTTATTGTAAATGATTGAAAAAGTAAGTGTAACGTATAATTTTCACTCATTTGAGAACAATTGCTGAAATTTCATGAAACTCAAATCTTAGAAGTTATTTTAAGTAGATCAACATGTGCGGGAACTTGGCCAGATTATCCAGATTCTGTCCTATACATCCCCAAAATTCTTTTGGGCAGGTTTGTAAGGGCAAGGCATGGGAGGGTACCAATTTTATGAATTATTTAAGTAAATATGTTATGCACAAGAATAGTTCACTTTTTAAAATGGATTTCCATTGTACCTGATTTTTCAAACAAAAACCCTTTAGCATGTTTTTAAAGTTAGTATAACTTTGTTTTTTAATTACAAGTGTCTAATGTCACGGCTTTGGGTTTGGCTGGTGAAAGACAAGGAGCCCTGTGACATGGTCAATTAGATAAAAGTATCACCTGTCATAAAGTATTTACACCATTATTATCCCCGTGAATGATTGAGTTGTCAACTCTATAAGCCAGACATGGCAGAAACACTACCTGCAAAGATTTTAACATGTACAAGTATTTGTCTCCCGTCAAATAAATAAGTGACTGGGGGATTTTAATAGAAAACCAGAGGAGGCAGAAACACAAGCAGGAGGTGTGCTGTGAGCCCGGTGGACTCCTCGCCTGGCGGGCGGCATCTTTCTTAGCCCTTTCCCTATGCTCAGCCCTTATTTGAGTGACCTAAGCCTACAAAAATCATTTGCAGTGATATCAAGTACAACAGTGCTAATGCCGTGTATGTCAGCATGTCAAATCATGCTGCTTAATGCACTGCGATACTTGCCTCAGTTCTTGGGCAAATGCCTAGAGAATGCCTTAA